TCAAACAACCATGACTAATGAGAAATTTATAGGAGATATATGAAGCTACAGAAGAAGCAGATCTAAATTTGTTTTGCCTACTCGCAAATAGTGATCCGCTTATCTTCTCAGAAGCCATCCAAGAAGATAAATGGAAGAAAGCAATGGATGAAGAAATTCAAGCCATTGAGAAAAATGACACATGGAAGCTTACCAGTCTACTGGAGGGGCACAAACCCATTGGAGTGAAATGGGTATACAAGACAAAGAGGAATGCACAAGGCGCAGTGCAACGCTACAAGGCAAGATTAGTGGCAAAAGGTTACAAGCAAAGAGTTGGAATTGATTATGGAGAGGTGTTTGCTTCAGTTGCCCAATTAGAGACTATCAGGCTAATGATTTCTTTGGCTGCGCAGCACAAGTGGCAAATTTATCAACTTGATGTGAAATTTGCATTTCTTAACAGTTTCCTTGAAGAAGAAATCTATATTGAACAACCTTTGGAGTATGTTCAGAATGGGTATGAAGACAAATTGTACAAATTGAAGAAAACACTTTATGGATTGAAGCAAGCTCCACGTGCATGGAATACTAGAATTGATTAGTATTTTCATGACAATGGTTTTGAAAAATGTCCATATGAGCACGCACTATATTTGAAGAAGGAAGATGATAGAAGCATGTTGCTTGCTTGTCTTTATGTTGATGATCTAATCTTCACCGGAAACAATCCAGCCATGTTCAAAGACTTTAAAAGAAGCATGGTCCAAGAATTTGAAATGACAGATATTAGATTGATGGCTCATTTTCTCGGCATTGAAGTGGCACAAAGAAAAGATGGAATTTTTATTTCCCAAAGTAGCTATGCCAAGGAAATTCTCAAGAAATATGGAATGGAGAATTGTAATCTAGTGAACACTCCTATAGATAGTGGAGTGGAGCTCAAAAAAGTTACGAAGGCAGGTGATGTGGATCAACTTATTTCAAGAGCCTAATTGGAAGTCTTCGCTATCTTACTTGCACTAGGCCAGACATACTCTATGGAGTAGGACTGATTAGCAGATATATGGAAACACCGGATCAGTCACACCTTTACGCAGCAAAGAGGATTCTTCACTACATCAAAGGTACAGTCGATGATGGTTTATTCTATAAACCAACTGTTAATTTCAGTCTTGTTGGCTACTCAGATAGCTATTGGGGACGTGACTTGGATGAACGGAAAAGCACTACGGGATTTACTTTCTTTATGGGAGATACGGCTTTCACGTGGTCGTCCAAGAAGCAAGCCATTGTGACATTATCAACTTATGAAGCTGAGTATGTTGCAGCCAACTCAGCTGTGTGCTATGCAATATGGTTACGGAACATGCTGAAACATTTAGGATTTCCATAAGAAAAACCCACTGAGATCTATGTTGATAATTCCTCAACAATTGCATTGGCAAATAACCCAGTTTATTATGAAAGAAGTAAGCATATTGACACCCGCTATCATTTCATCCGAGAGCATGTGAAAAATAAAGAGGTGAAATTATTTCCTTGCAAATCTCAAGATCAATTTGCAGATATTTTCACGAAGCCATTGAAAAATGATCTGTTCAACAGAATGAAAATGTCATCTGTCCAGGCATGGGGGGCGCAAACTCGCTTATATACCTTCTGCGCCCCAAATCTACTCCCATTAGTCTCTCGACACGTGGTGCTGCTATCCCATCTGTCAGCACAAATCCAGCAATCACCACCTAACCAAACTGTTAGGATACCTCGGCGGAGCTCGGCAGACCGGCAGAACCTCCTCGGTTTCTCCTGACCGCGCTGCGCGGCGTACCTTAGTGAACCATTTGCCGAGCTCCTGTACAACCGAACTCGACTGCATTCCAGCAAGCCGAGCTCGAGGTAGGTCGAGCCGGTTAGCCGTCGGTCTTCCTGCCGAGCTAACGCATGAACCGTGGAACCCATGGAGACAGGCAGATATCTCGGCCGAACTCCCAGTAGACCAGCTTCTGCACCAACAAGCCAAGTAGCTCGGTCCCACATGCCCCGTGCCTTAACCAAGCAAAACCCTTCCGGACAGGCCCAAGCTACCGCGGCCCAATTGTGTTCGGCCCACAATTTGCACGCCCATTACCACGGCCCAATTCAGCTCATAAATCTCCCTCTCAGTAGCCATTGTTTGTTTTTTTTTTAAAAAAAATTTATTTTACAATGGAATTCATAATAAATAAAGATAATTGTGCAACCGAATAGGAAATTAGGAGATGAATGATTGTTTGATTAGATATATCATAAACAATAATAATATCATAAACAACAATATTAATGTATATATATGAATGAGCCATTTTACTATAATGAAGACCTATGAGGGGCCAAGCCCATATTCCTGATACGTGAACCCATTTTAAACACATGATAGACATAATGGTGCGAATCGAACTCCGTCTACGTAAAAAGTGCCCACATCTATGTAGTTGGGAGATATATGCATGATTAGGAGGTCAATGACGTAATAAGCCAATTCCATTCCTAGCATGATCAAATGATCATGATTAGTAATATAGGAAACGCCAATTTGAATTTGAGCATATCACGACTGTTGTACTTAAAACGGTTGGGATACGTGGCCTAGTGTGCAGTGGTCTTTTCCAATTACTACCATCCCCAACAAGTGGGGACATGTCTCGTAGCTTTTCTCTACCTCATTATGGTGATACACACGACAATTTCTTATTGGTTACAATGCTAACACAATTATTCCCTCAATTAAGATGTAATTGTGCAAGTGAACTCTCCACATATACACACATCTAGTTACATTGTAAATGTGCACTATCTATTATACTTGCTCTTTTATTACCTTTTTTCTCAAACATATTTCTAACTCGACCGTTAGAGGACTCTTGAGAATGAAACAATATTTTTCAATGTTTCTGAGAGGGTAATTTATATGAAAATTGGGCCGAGCTGGGTAATGGGCCGTTATGGGCCACAGTACGAAGGGCTGAGTAAAAGAGGCTTAAAGTTACTCCGGTCCAAAAGAGACTTGAAGTTACTTCGGTCCCAAAGGGCTTACGGTAAGCTCGGTCGTCACACACAAAGTTATCTCGGTCGGGAGCACATTATTGGTTATCCCGGTCAAGACATACCATGGTTAGCACTGGGAAAATCGAGGTAAAAGCATTAAATGAAAGAGCCGAGCTAAAGTTATCTCGGTCTAGTCTGCGGTTTGGCATAGCCATGCTTACCTCGGTCATATTGGAGTCCGACCATGGTAAAACCATCTCACTTGGTTTAAGCAATGAGAAGGGTGTTGAAAGATAAGCTTTATCTTTCAGGAGTATGCCTCGTAGGAGGACTCTGCATGGAGGAGTAAGAGTCCTACTAGGATTGTGCCACGCGAAACCTATAAAAGCTGACAACATCACCTATGGAGAGGTAACACAACTTTGATTCCCGAATACACAGAGCTTTTTGTCTATTTGTCTATTTTGCTGACTTAGGCATCGGAGAGGTATCCGGCACACACCCACCGGCTAGCTTACGTTTGTGTTTTCAAGGAGTAAAGCGACGTCGTATGAAGGAGCACGAACTTGATCAACAGGATTATACGAGAAGGCTTATTTCTTTCCCGTACAGTTTCACTGGTTTGTTTGCAGATATTATGAAGAGGAAACCAAAGCCCATCTCAACACTGTACGGGTCTAGCTCATTTCATCGACTGCCAATTTAATTGTTTCTTTTGAAATTTTTTCCAATTATTCACTTTTCTCCCCTCTAACAGTATGTGTACCAAAATGCACACAACGCGATAAACACACATAGACCACAAAACTACTAGCAAATAACAAAACCACGCAAAACACAAATCCACCTCTTATAGTAGAAACCAATTTGATAAAAACACGCATGCTTTCCTCCCATACATATATCCATAATAAAAAATCAAAATCTTTCAGTTTTATTATGAAAAGTGAAGTATAAATGTTAAGAAACCACACAAAAGCACAAGAGGGAAGAAAAAATGAGATTTAATTTATGCCTTGCTATCCATTAGATTGGGATTTGGCTACAAATAACACTTGTGATGTCTCAAAAATCGTAGATTCTCTATTAATTGATCAAATAATCATTTTAGTTTTTTATGGTGTCACTGCATTTATGAAGTAAGTTTGGAATTGTTGAGTATTAAATTATGATTTATATGGATTGAGTTTAGAATTAAAAGGCTTAGAAGAAGAATGATTGAGAGATAAGAAATAGTGTGACCTAAAATGTTTGAGAAATACATGAGATATGGATATGATAGTGGTGACAAAGGTAATGAATGAGAGGTTGATGCAAAAGAGCTGGTAGAGAAGACGGTCGTTGAGCAGTAGCGTTTTTAAAAAATATAAATTTAAATAAGTGATAATGATATAGGAATAGTGATTGTACAAATGAAGAAAAAAGACAATTTGATAATAGATGTTTTAAAATGAATAGTAAAAGGGAAAAAAAGAAAAAAAGCTAACAAAAGAGTGACATGTGTATTATAAGATGTTACCTTTGCTACACAAGTTTACGGCGATAGACAAAATAGTTTGAATTGTGATCGGTTTATAAGTGTAGGGCTTAATTCAAATAAATTTAAAAATATAGTGTTTTAATTTATTACAAACGTCAAAGGAGTAATTTTTGTATTTTTTCCCAAGTGGTATTTACAAGTCAGTCCTATGAATCAGATTTATTTACCAATAAATTCTGCTAAAACATAAACAATTATCATCTATAAATTTACGAATTTATCAAATAAAACTCACAACTACATATAAACAAAAACAAAAGTGAATATGTTACACTAATAAATTTCTAATTCATAGTTCTATAGAATTTTCACTAAGGACTTGTAAGTAAATAAGTGATCGGTAAGACTAACTAGTAATTATTGATTTTTTCCAATTATTTTGGTATTATAGACATGGGCCTTCTTTGTAGTGGGCATGTAAATTGGAGGCCCAAGGTCTAGTTAATTTATGGCCCTTCGGCTCATCGTCAGCCTCATTCGCATATGCCTTGCGGACGAGCTTCGGATCGTCCATTTCTAATGTGTACAGCGAGATCTCTGATCAATTCTCACATCCCGAGTTGACCCAGTGAGTGGTGGAGTCGCGCGAGTCAGCGTCGCCGTTATCACGGTGGTTGTTGGCGGCGGTTGCGGTGGTGCTAGGGCAGCAAGATGGTGGATCCGGCGAACACTCCACTCGGACGAATGTTATTGGACGAGATCACACCCGTTGTCATGGTGCTTCGAACGAACCTCGTCGAAGAGACTTGTCAAAAGAATGGCCTCAGCTTGATTCAAATGCTCAGCCCTTTCTGTGCCTTCGACAACATTGATGGTAACTATACATGTATATGTATATATGTATATAGAATGTGCGTTTGTGTGTAGAGAATTGGGGGTTTTGATGTGATTTTGATGTGAAATTTGTGACAGTACCTGTACGGACAGCGAGTGATCAACCCTACAGGCTTCAGAAGTTCAAGTTACGGTTGTTCTACGCGTCTGACATTCGGCAGCCCGATGTGGAGGTGATTTATTGTTAAATTTTCTGTTTGGTTGCTGGTAAAATGAAGGAAAATGAAACCAATGCAAAGTTTCAGTATTAGTTTATTTTAATTTTTTGCTTGTCATTTAGGCGTTGAAGAAAGAATTGTTGCACTCAGGTGAACCTAATGCAGTTAATTGCGTTAGTTTTTTGATTAATCTTATGGAAATCTGATCAACATATTTGAAATTTCATAATTTTTTATTTTTATTTTTATTTTGCTGAATGTATTAACTTCTTGATAGTCAGTTCATTCACACAATTTATTAATTGATGATAGGCAAAAAGAAAGCATGTGTTTTTTATAAAGGTGGATGGATGAAGAAGTTCAAACACCATTTATTATGTGTCTTTCATTGGGTTTTGTAGCTTGTTCTTTCTGAAAAAAGGTTTTCCATTTAATTAGGTTGCAAAGGAGCGGGTGAAAGAGGTTATTACTCATGCAGGGGAGGAAAATTTTTCGAACTTGTGTTCAGACCCACCTCAAATTGAGACTGTACTCACTAGTAAGTTGTAACTTGTATAGTTTTGCAATCTTATATGAAATGGTAGCAGTTGTTTATGGGTTTCGAAGTATATATGAATTTGTGAAAATATATTTGTTGTTAGCTTTCTTTAATTACAATTTACTGCAGCTACCTCGTTTTATCTTCTTGTTTTACAATAGTGGTTTTAGATCTGTTATAGTGTCTCCATTTTTGTTCTAATCTTTTTCAGTTAATTTTCACTTGCAATGTTTTGAATGACTGATATATATAGACACATATAAATATTTCTTTGGTGGTGCAGCCTCCCAATCTGAACTCATACCGTCATGGTTTCCGTTCTTCAACAAAGAGCTAGTACGAACAGTCTCTTTTTCAGATCATGAAGCTTTTGACCATCCTGTGGCATGTAAGCTCTTGTATTTCTTCTTCTAATACTTTTCTGTTTGCCCCTCTCTTTCTATGTCTCTCCTCAAGTTTGGTCGTTTTGATCTCTTCTGCTTATGATGTCAGATTATGGTCTTTTACCTTTTTGGAATGATTACTTGATTGTATCCTTTGTTCAACTTGACTTGCAGGTCTTTTGGTTGTTTCTTCAAAGGATGAAGAGCCTATCAATAGATTTGTTGACCTTTTTAACAGTGATCAGTTGCCTTCACTTCTTAGTGATGGAGCAATGGATCCAAAGATTCTGAAGTATTATCTGTTGCTGCATGATAACCAAGATGGCACATCAGAGAAGTACATGAACTCATTCCTTTCTTATTATGTTAAAATTCAGAATATGAAAAAGCGAACAAACATTATGAAGGAAATGAACAACAATCATATATGTTAAATTTGCTGCTTTTGATATCTAAGTAAAATTAAAATTGAAAGAAAGGGGAAATTACACTGACCTCCCCTGAGCTATGTGACATGGATTTGGGTACGAGTATCGAGTGCAAGTGCATGTCCAAGCATCCAATATATGTTATTTTTTTAATTAAAATTTTAAATAAATTTATTTTAAAAAATAATAATAATTAAATAATGAAATTAAATAAAACATCTATTAAATGAGTTAAATTTGAGTGATTATATTAGAGAACAAATTGAATTGTTGCAAGAAAGTCAAAATTGTCCCGTGCGTGCCTTGCACGCGTGGAGTTTCCGTCCAAAAGTCTAATCACCGTTAACTATTGGACCATTTTGAGTCAAAAACCAAACTGTAAGGACAAAATTGATACATTTAAAAGTGCAGGGACCAAAATAAAACCACAAGTAAACTATAGGCACTATTTTTGTAATTTGCCCTTAAAGAAATCAACTTGTTCATGACATACTGTTCTTTCCATAACATCAACTTAAAGAAAAATTAAATACACATTTGTTAAATAATAATTTTTTTAAGTAACTCTTATTAATGCATAGTATTAAGGCATAATGATTAATGTATAGTATTAAAGCATAAGGTAATGATAATATGTAAATATCTGTTTGTCAAGAAAAATCTAGCTCAATATCATGTTTCCCCTGCCATGATTGAGCACTTGTACCAATCTGGCTAACCGTGCTCTAACCTTCCAATTTTTTCTGTATGGATGAATATGAGCAAAATAAGGATAACGGGTAACTGTATAAATAATAACAAAAATATTTATGAGAATATAAAATAAAGAATGTAGAAAAGAACAATAATAGCTATAAATAAATATATACACAAAATCTGCATAATTACAAAGATAATGTATACACAAAACTTGTGTAATTATTTTTATCCTATGTTGATGATTTGAATATCTATCATGTTATGTATGTGTATAGAAAAAGTGAAATTCTTATAAGTATAGAATTAGTGTGGGGATATATTTTCTAAGTACCAACATGTGGCATGGTGACGCCGACGTGTCATCCGAGGCGCCACGTGTCGTGGTAGTTATGCCGAGGTTATCTTGGCGAGGCCGAGGTTATCTCCGAAGATATCGGAATCCGAGATAAACGGATAAGGGACAAGAGTCCTAGAGTAAAGAGGGAACTTTGCTAAAGATAAGGATAAAGCTCTTAGGGAGTTTATCTTTATCTCTTGAAGAGTTCAAAGTAAGTATTGAATTGGAGTCCATAGAAGTCAAGCTTCTAGTGAGACTAAAATTGAGTAAACTATAAAAGAGAGGCACCCCCGTGGGTCTAAGGTATGAGTTTTATGCTTTGAATATTGAGTTTTGCACTATAGATTATCTTTGAGAGATATACTGACTTGATCGTCGGAGTGCCCCCGGGTGGAAGAACCACCGCCGGAGCCTTTTTCTTTCTGTTACAGGTTAGCTGGAGCCATCTATTCTGCCGGTGCTCTCCAGCTGGATACTGAGTTGGGCGGTGTGATCAGAAAATCACTCACACAATTTGGCGCCGTCTGTGGGAAGAAGGAAGAATAGGTGGCCAGTAACGGACAGAAGGAAAAGATTGGGGACAATACTCCCGCTGGGAGTGGCAGGCCAATTGACCTTGACATTGAAGGAGACAACCACAATGCAGAAACCCGTGACCAGGGTCACAGAGAGGAAGACGTCGGCCAGGAGGGCAACACTTCGAAGAATACAGACCAAGGCAAGTACTATAATGAAGATAACCTCCAGGTATGGAGAGACAGGTGCCTACGGAGGGATGAGGAAGTAAAAGAATTGGCAAACAAGCTGGCAGACCTACAGTCGGTCGTCAACTTCATGATGCAGAACAATGTTATGCAGCCACCATACCCACTGCAAGATACGCCGATGCCAGCAATTAATACCCAGAAGGGAGGAAGGAAAACAATCCCTGAAGCCCCTCAGCACACCAGGAGCGGAAGGCACTCTCACCGACCTTCCAGAGAAGTCGGACGAGAGGAGCCGAGGCAAGAAGAGTCCCGAAGGACACATCACATGAAAGATCCAGGGCCCAAAGAACATCGGCATGTTCAAGGGCAAGCACTCTGCTTTGACACAACCCATGGAGAGAGATCAAAACGGGCCCACCACGAGGCCGAAAGTAGTGTGCCAAAAAGATTGAAGTCCAGAGATAGCCGAGCTCCAGGTAACAGTAAAGAAGACTTGAGGGCCTCAAAAGGAGGCAGCAGAATGTTGAAGCCGAGGTGACTTCCCCAGTTAAGCCGAGGACACCATTCTCGGTGGAACTGGACAAATTTGAAGCACCAAAGAGATTCAGTATGGCGAGGTTCCAAATTTATGATGGTAAGTTAGATCCCAACTTTCATGTCGGACTATACCTGAATTCAAAAATTAACTTTTTACCAACTTTCCAAAATATTCCTATAAAAACTTTCAGTAGGTAAACTTTAAAAAAATAATAATAATAACATATTATGAACAGAGCTGATTCAGTGCTCTAAAAATAGAGTATTAAATCTGTTCTAATGAGCAGGAAATGTAAAAAAAAAAAAAAAAAACAACAACAACAACAACCATCACATCATGAAGGGTGTCAACTTATTAGTGCTCTTCTTAGTACTAGTGCTCTCAAGCATTTTTGTATTATAAATTACCATTTGGTATGGTAACATTCAAATTTGGTTTCGTAATCACTTCTTTTGAAATTGTTATAAGTAAATAGTAGTATTGAAAAACACAAAATTATTAAATTCCACACCTATATTTTTAGGAAAAAAAAAAAACTACTAATAACATGTTAGAGGTTACCATTTGGTAGGGTGAAATTCGAATTTGCCTCTGTGGCTAGTTCTTCTGAAACTATTATAAGTAAAAAAAAGTTAGTATTGAATACGCCAAATTATTAACAGTAGCAATATTTACAAAATAATAATTATAATAACATCGTAGAGCTTACCATTTGGTAGGATAATATTCGGATTTACCACTGTAGTCATTTTATTTTATCTATTTATTTTGCATATTCACGTGCAATTGAATTATTCTTATTAGAAGAATAATTTTGTCATATAATTATAAAAAGAAATCTGCCTAAGTTTGTATATATAATCATAACAATATGATCGTCATTTACCTGAAAAGGTACGTATTTCTCGTGTAGAATACATGTTCTTCAACAACGTGCTTATTTTGTAATTTTGCTTAGATGTTCTCCACACGTAGTATGATCATGATCAATTACAGAAGGAACTTGATAAGAACAATTAATTATTTAAGAACATTGAATTTTTTAAACACACACAGAAAATTTAAGAACACTTTTCTTTTTTTTTAAAACACACACAAAATGAAGACAACAAACAAATAAACAATAATTTGTTTAAACACACACATAAATTTTAGAACACTGATTTTTTTTTTAAACACACACAAAATGAAGACAACAAACAAATAAACAATAATTTGTTTAAACACACACATAAATTTTAGAACACTGATTTTTTTTTTAAACACACACAAAATGAAGACAACAAACAAATAAACAATAATTTGTTTAAACACACACATAAATTTTAGAACACTGATTTTTTTTTTAAACACACACAAAATGAAGACAACAAACAAATAAACAATAATTTGTTTAAACACACACATAAATTTTAGAACACTGATTTTTTTTTTAAACACACACAAAATGAAGACAACAAACAAATAAACAATAATTTGTTTAAACACACACATAAATTTTAGAACACTGATTTTTTTTTTAAACACACACAAAATGAAGACAACAAACAAATAAACAATAATTTGTTTAAACACACACATAAATTTTAGAACACTGATTTTTTTTTTAAACACACACAAAATGAAGACAACAAACAAATAAACAATAATTTGTTTAAACACACACATAAATTTTAGAACACTGATTTTTTTTTTAAACACACACAAAATGAAGACAACAAACAAATAAACAATAATTTGTTTAAACACACACATAAATTTTAGAACACTGATTTTTTTTTTAAACACACACAAAATGAAGACAACAAACAAATAAACAATAATTTGTTTAAACACACACATAAATTTTAGAACACTGATTTTTTTTTTAAACACACACAAAATGAAGACAACAAACAAATAAACAATAATTTGTTTAAACACACACATAAATTTTAGAACACTGATTTTTTTTTTAAACACACACAAAATGAAGACAACAAACAAATAAACAATAATTTGTTTAAACACACACATAAATTTTAGAACACTGATTTTTTTTTTAAACACACACAAAATGAAGACAACAAACAAATAAACAATAATTTGTTTAAACACACACATAAATTTTAGAACACTGATTTTTTTTTTAAACACACACAAAATGAAGACAACAAACAAATAAACAATAATTTGTTTAAACACACACATAAATTTTAGAACACTGATTTTTTTTTTAAACACACACAAAATGAAGACAACAAACAAATAAACAATAATTTGTTTAAACACACACATAAATTTTAGAACACTGATTTTTTTTTTAAACACACACAAAATGAAGACAACAAATAAATAAAGGGTAAATTACATTGATACCCCTTGAGATTTGGTCCAATTACTACCTACTCGCTGACGTTTTGAAAATTACATTCTCACCCCTGTGATTAATAGTCTCATTTCACAAACCTCCTGCTTATATAAAAGGTAATAACTCTTAATAGAAAAACAGAAAAAATTACATTAAAAAAAGAAAAAAAGTAAAGGAAAGGGGAAAATAAAGCAAAACAACAAAAGAAATAGTACATGAGTTCAATGTTTTCATTCCGTCTAAATAATTACAATAATAAAGGGATTAGTGTAATTTATCAAACGTCAAGAGTGATATATATTAAACCCAAAACTCATAGAGTATAAGTGTAATTTACCCATAAATAAATCAAACCAATAACACTTAAAACACTTA